CCCTTCCTTTAGAATGCAAATACAAAGTGGCAACACTTGAGATCAATATAGATCCTAAAATATCACACACAAGCTATTCAAGTTTCTTAAGACAACAAAATTGGGAATAAAATGTCAAACTATGTCTTGTTGATAAAAATAACTCATTTTCCAAATGCAGTTCTCTGCAAATGCAGAAAAACTCTGTCTTGTATATACCATAAGCTATTTACCTAAAATGGTACTGCCAGTGAAACAGATGTCATTGCACAATATCCCTGTGCCACCCACATTCTGTTCTCCTAGTTGCCAAACAGAACTGTTTTGAGTTATTTACTGAGCGATCAGATTCAAGTATTTATGCAATGATCTGTACGCTACATAAAAAAAAAGTAGTACTTAAAAACTGAAATGTAATGTCACATGATGTTTTACCACGATCTAGTATATTCAGCATGCCTTCACCAGTACAGACTATGAAGAAAACATTGAAACCACAGCGGAAGGCCAAAAAAAAATCTTATTTTTAAGGTCTTTTTACTCCTTTTTCATTTTCCTGTCCATTAGATTCAATTTCAACCTTCTGTTTTTAAACATCTTCACTTGAATGAGGAAGATGTAGAATTGATACCAAAGTTTCCTCCACAGCCCTAAAAAATAATCTGTTCTTTGCAAGGTAACTACATAAAACATAAAAATCACACCACAGAATAAGGCAGGCTGGAAGGGACTTTGGAGGTACCTGGTGGTGGTGGTGGAAAACGGGTGAAGGAAAAAAAAAATTGTTTAGGGTAGCATAAGAACTTAAGCAAATAGTTCAACACCTGCAACGCGCTGTCCGTTGCATGGAGGTCCTTGAGCTAGGCAAGCATGATAAACACCTCTTGGGAAACCTGTAAATGGAGAGGCTCTATGCATAAATCAGAAGCTCCTCTCCTTGAAGATTAAGGCCCTCTGAAAAATAATGAATTAGCTGAAGCTAGGCAGGAGGTAAGAAAGTGCAGATGTAAACTAAAGAAAGGCCATTTCCAAAGTGTGGGCAAAGTTCAAGAAGGTGTCCTTTCCAAAGACCAGCAGAGACTGCTAGAAATCACCAACTACCCCCATGGAAGCCTTTCAGATACCTAAACCACATGCATAATAATTATGTAAATATTACAATAAGTTTTAGGAAATTTGATGAGTATGTATATAGCAGAGGGATCACACTACCTACTGTAGGGCCCGTTCAGGGCAGCCCACAGGGCTCACTGTCATTTGTCAGTGACCCAACTTGGTCTGCATATGCTACCCTACATTGTAGAACTTAGCCATCTGATTTTTCATGCTGTCTTGCTTTTTCATTTTTCCTCTTCTTTTCAATCCATGTCACATGATCTCTGGAGCTCATCAGCATCAGACTACCATCAGGCTTCCTTGAGAGTGAGATGGAGCATGAGACTATCCACAGTTCCACCAGGACCTTGCCAATGTACTCCCATGAACTCTAAATGCAAAAAGCTTGTGGTCTGTTCTCATCAGTATCACCAAATTGCTGCCAAAATTCGAGTTACCAGATTTTCTCAATCTGTACCCCTCAAGAACTGAGACATTTGTTTTAAGGATAGCGAGCACAATGAAATTCATATTGAGTACTCCGTCTACATTCACATTTGTACAAGTAACTGAAACACTACAGAAAATAAGATCAGAAAAAGTAATTAAGTTTGAATATTCACAGTTTTCTAGTACAAGAAAATGTGCTTTAAGAATGGAAAAGGGAATCTAAAAGACATCTAGACATACATATGCATTCTAGCAAGCCAGTGAATACATCTAGAACAAATGACAGCTAAGCAGAAAAATAATTTCATATTTAGGACCTTTTTCCTTATGTGAAATATTGTCCTTCTTGAGAATGTAAAGCTTTCTTAAACCTTTCAAGATGACTGATAATAAAAGTACTGAAATTAACATTAAAATACATTTTAGTATCACAAGAGGTTTTTCATCTGATCAGCTTTTTACTCTTTGATAGTTGTTTGCTACTAAGCCACCTGACCCTTCAACTATCCAGTCTTATGCTGCCTTATTTAGACCTCTCAACTTCGTCGAGCTGCTTTCAGATTACAGCACAAAGTCTTAAAGGTAAATACAGTAGGCACAGTTTTTTAGCAAAACACTTGCCAGTTTGGCAACAGCAGAATCAACAACAGATAGGCAGAAGAAATACTGGTTAGAGGAAATAAGAGAAATTTCTGTACACTCCTGAAATAAAGTTCTTTCAAGACACTCTAACTCACCGATTCCAGAGAGCTACCTAGCAATTCTCTGACCTAATGAGGGGAGGAAAAAAAAGAAAAAAAAAAAAAAAAAAAGAGTGACAAAGTTTCCGTTAGAAACAACTGAGATCACAAATTCTGCATTTAATATATAAATTTGATTATATACAATTTTATTTTGCACTGACATTGCTTCCAGTCCTCAAGAGTGTGCTATGCAGGCGAACAACGAACGCTGCAAAAATTAAGCATCCTTTGCCACCAAAGGCCAAGACTATCACTTCTGCAATACTCATAATCCCCACTGGTTAGGAAATAAACACCCATGTGAATTGCATTCACTACTAGGCACCAGATCTCAGACTAAAGAAACATTTTATCTTTTCCTTTAGGAAATAACTTTCAAGCTAAAAATCCTAGGCATTTCTATGAGGCTTGGAATTACATGTCATAGTTTTTTTGGTTTTATTTTTTTTTTTAATTTAAAAAGCAACAAAACCAATTATCTAACAACAGTAAATAAACAAATACATAACTTCAGTGTGATTCTTTCCCAAGAACATAATCTGTGACATCCTTGCTATCAGAAAGTCAGTTCAGTCATCCTGCTAGATGCTGTTCTACTGAATATTAAAATAATTAATAATGAGTTATAATTTCAAAGTGTTAGCTGAATATTCAAAAATCTGCTTTTACAGCATGGCCCACAGAAGAAACACATGGTCAGACACCTTCAGAAGCTATTTTCCCCAGGAAACAAAAAATACACATCAGTTAAACTGCAACAAAATTAGACCATCTCTCATCCTCCTCTACTCTTCAACGATTTATGAATTCTTTTTCTTACTATTTTAATTAACTTTAAGTTAATTCATTAAAAGTATCTGCATAAAACATATGATACAAATCTTGTATTTTTAGGAAAGTTAGACAGTTTTCTTCTTTTTTTTTCATCTGTCTGATTCCTGTGCACCTACAATACGAATAAACTATGAGAAAAAGTAATTACTGTATCAAACAATAATTGAGTGCTCCTAAAGGTATCTTTTTAAAAATCAAGTCCATCTAGAGTACTTTAAATCATTTGCGAGTCATACTGAACATAAATGTTTACTCTTCTATCTAGCTGAAAATAATTGAACGTTTACCATGTTATACAGCTACTTTACCTCACTGTATAACCCAGACAACCAAGGCAGTTGCTTTTCATATTGGCTATTGTTTAAGACCAGTTACAGATTCAGATCTCCTTCAAATCCAGTTTATGGACAGATGAAGGTGCATTAAACAGTTGCTTCATATACCATAGTCTCTTCCTATTATTACACATATTTAGCACAAACTTTCAATGTATTTACAATGCACTGTGAAACCAACTAATGTAGTTAAAGAAGCCCTTCATTCATTAGTGTAAATACTTTATTGGTCTTAGCCCTTCTTTTCATTTACTTATAAAAACCCAATTATGCATTTTGAGGAAGAGGAAGATAAGCATGCTGATACTGGGAAAGGAAGGAAACATAAAGGAAAATATAAAACTGCAAGGGTATAGGTGTTAAATTTGGCTAGAAAATTTAAAGACAGAGAATTTTCTGGTTTTGTTTTTGGTGGACTTTTTTGTGGCTTGTCCTAAAACTGAAAGCACCTGACCGTACTGCTAAAATATCAATGTCTCTCTTCCAAGTTGGGCATATAGGCAGAATCATCAGTTTCCCATGAGTCACAGAAAGGCAGCTCCTCTCTGCAGTTATATGTGCTCCATCTCTCTATCCTCCTGTGTGTATGCCAGTATCAGTGTATTGTGTCTCTTCTTAACCACTCTCACAAGGCTGTTAAATGAAAGAAACAAAACAGTGAACAGTTCTCTGACACTCTGAACAATTACTGGATAATAAAACCTTATCTGATGAATAACCCTATTGTCATATAAAACCAGACATTTCAATTTCAGTATTACACATCCAATTAACATACTGCTACATACATAAGTATTTATGGATTCAGATTCATAAGTCCTTTAAATATAGACTGGTTTAAGAACCGAGCTGTTTTAAAGTTCATAGCAATTGCTGAAGACCCACCAAGCCCTCTGTGTATAAGTTCCCTTCTCTACTTATGGCCAGATATTAGGCCAAAAATTAAGCTTGCTTAGTTGTAAATACCATGAATGTGAAACCACCCTGCTTAATCAGAGGACCTCTGCCTTTAGCCATTGTGGCCACTGTTTTTCCAGAGGTTTTTTTCATGTAATTGCCACTAATTACAACTGGAAGCTAATACTGTATATCAGCATCAGTAGATGAAAAACATGTATAAAAATAGCTTTTTATATTGTTGAGTGATTTGCTTTTTTTGAGGAAGAAAGTGCATTACATGTCTTTAAAAAGTCAAATTTTGTTCCAAGATCCTCTCCAGATATTGTTACTGCTTAATCCAAAATCTTAGGGAAAAAATAGTAGCTATATCTTAGAAATGTGACAAAATGCTGAGTAAAGCTTTATGTCTTTTTGCTGGCATTTTTTCTTGCTTTCTGTGTGATTAGGATCATTCTGGAGTTAAAAGTTACTGATTTACCAGAAGGCTACCTCATGTTTTATATTTTCAATTCTACTGGACTGATTAAAAAAAAAAAAGACAGATTAGCAAAACATGGAACCTTTCTATATTGCTTACTGTACTACATTAGGATCCTTATAACATAGAAGGGCTCAGCACTTACAAGGACATCATTACATATATGCTGATTAAAAATTGACCAACCTTTCCTTCAGCATCTGCTGTTGTTACCTTCTCAACCTTGTTCCTGTTTAAAAATTTCTTCACCCATTCTTCTACTTGAACATTGAACTTCATGAAAGTCACATAGCAAAAATAAGCTGTCAGAAGTGTTAAGCTTTCCCACCACATGATCAAGTTATCCAGAAAAAAGATGATTAGCAAGATCAAGTCAATGATGTAAAATGACACATCTCGAAACAGAGGCCACCAAGTAAGATTCAAGATCTCTCTAGAAAATAAAGCACACATTCCAATAACAAACAGGATATTGAACACAGCAGATCCCACTATTGTACCAATGCCAACATTGCTGTGGGATATAAACACTCCTATTAAAGAAGTGAAGAGTTCTGGGGCTGACCCACCAGCAGCCATGAAGGTTGCCCCTGCCACATCATCAGATATGGTCAGTTTTTCAGTGATGATCGTCAAGGAAGGAACAAAGAACTCATCGCAGACTATGGCTAAGGCTATAAACATGTAAATCATTCCAATTACATGGAGGATCACTGCTCCCTTTCTTCTCTCCTTAAGAGAGAAAAGGTCCCTGGGGTACTCTCCCTTGGCATGATCATCTGTTGCATTGATGTGTTCAGCTTCATATTTCATAGAAGCATGTAGGTCTGGAGTGCCGTTTTCATTCTGTTCCACGAAATCCAACAGAGTTCTTTGGTGCCCATGCACCAGCTTTTGGCTATCTAGGCTGCTGGCCAACACCATGCTATGTGTTTCCGTCTTGAAAAAGGCACTGATTGAAAGAGAGAAAGTACTAATGGCCATTATACTGACAAGAAGCCCTATAATTCGTATCAGTCTCAGTTTTTTCCTAACATTCTGGTGCCGTTTGCAACCGAACAGCGGTTCCTCCAAACACCACTCCTCCAAGACACCAGCAACAGGTTTTTTTTGAAGAGCCATTCTGTGTTGGGTGTGAGATGCTGAGGGAGTCAGATGGATTCTGCTTTCATACTTTTGTCTTCAGCTTTGAAGTTAGAACTGCTTTAAGAGTTTTCCCAGAATCAAGTACTTTTACTCTTCACAGGAAGTATTTTCTTCATTCGTCTTAAAAGGACAAACAGGTATTATTAATATTAGTGAAACAGGATGTGATTAGAAGCTTCTAAAACATATTTTACAAACTGGGTTAAATTTAGAATTTAAAGCAGAATATTACCAACTGTAACATAAAATCCTGTCATATACCATCAGACACAGCAACAATATTTTTGCCTCAGCAGTAACCCTGTGGATAACAGTCTATCAATACTCAGATCATTTTATACCTCTCGTATGCCTCTGAGCCACTGCTCTTCCCAATTGCTGACAAAAAATCGTAGTGGAAGGTAAAAACTGTCCCCAAATGTCGCATAAAAATGAAGAAACTACTGTTTTAATGGATATACCAAAGATTATTACTTTCTGTAATTACTTTCTACCATGATCATGTAACATGCAAATCCCAAATGCAGAGGCAATAATGTATGAAAAAGCAATCAAAGTGCTAACAAGCATCTCATCAGATACTTTAGGCAGCTGAGGCGATATTAATTGAAATGTTATGCAGGCATATAGCTACAGTCATTCATATGTAGGCAAAACACTATGCAGTTGGAACAGGATCCAAATGAAGATGTAACACATCCACAGTTTCTTTTAATTCCTCTGCAAAACTGACTCAAGTTTATATAGAGAACTCAGCGTGCTTCTGATCAGACCTAAGACACTAGCTTGGACTAGCCAAGACAAAATTTTCATTCACCTCTGGTTTTGTTTAGGTTTGTGTTACACATTCTGCTATAAATGTAGATAGTTACTAAATGTGGCAAGTATCTTCTGAAAGTGCTCCTCTTACAGATCCCTAAGCAAATAGTTTAAATTTATACAAGAATTGATCCTGAAACAAATGAAACTGTGAGAAATTAAACTGTGTGAGAAGGACTATTCATGTATGCCAGAGCTGAGCATATTAGACCAACAGTACTTTTAACACAGGAAAAGAACACTATATAGTCACAGCTGCTTTGGTTACTGATTTTGAAGAATATCTGTAATGTAGACATTAGTTATGTATGCATTATGCATAGTAAATTGCATTTTATATGACACAAAATATAAAATATTTTCTAAATAAAATTATTAGTCATTGCTATTATAGTAAAAAAATACTGCTACATCACTTATTCAAGTCATTTGTAGTGAACAGCTGAATACTGAACAATCTCTTAATCAGCAGAATATTGATTTTGTACTCTCAAATACAAAATAACAATTACCACATGCAGTTATTTATGTAAAAGTTATCAAGTCACATGCAGTTTCTCTCGGTTTTTACAAACAGCTTCCATACTAAGATGCCATAGAGACATACTCCACCTGCAAGATACAGGACCACAGCAGAGATATTTTATTTCCCCCCTTAGTTATTTGCTCACCGGACTGCCACAAACACAACAAGCAGGAAAGATACCGAAATGACACTACCGCTGCCGTGTGCAATTTACGGCGGATGGGCCGACCATCCCACACCACTATCAGTCACGCGAACGGGAAACGAGAGAGCGCCCAGGCTGCCCTCTGCCCCAAAACTCACACCGCAGCGCCCAGCCAGACTGCTCCCGACACTGGCACCCCATCCCCCGCCGCGTCGCGGCCCAACGCAGCCCCATCTTCCCCGTCCTCCCGCAGAGATGCCGCAGAGCCTCGCCTAACTCAACCCAAGTTGGCACCGTTCTGCTCTGCTCCGCACCACTCCGCACTGCACAAACTTTTCTCCTTTCCGAAAGGGCAGCGGATCCAGCCCCAGCCGCGGAAAGCCGCGGAGGCTGGCTCAGGGCACGGGGCAACCCTCAGCAACAGGATACCACCTACGGGGGCGCGCATTTTGGGAAGGACAGACCCCGCACCGCCGCAGCCCAACCCCCGCCCGCGCAAACCAGCGACGCTCACCCGGCGGTGGGGTGGGGTGCGCTGCGCGCCGACCCGCGGGCACTCGGCAGAGGCACGAGAACGAGAACGGGCATAAACGACCACCACCACAACCCCTCGTCCAGCCATCTGCGGCGGGCGGTGTCCGCCGAATCCTCACCATGCCGCCCCGCCCCGCCCCGCGCAGGCGGGGCAGCCGCCGGACCGCCCCCGCCCAGCCCGGGGCCGCCGGCGTGGGGTGCAACTGCGCACGGCAGCGCATGGCAGCACCACCCCCCCCCCCCGCCCCCCTCTCTCCGCGCTCGCATGGAGGGTTTGGTTAGCGGCAAAACAAGAGTGGTGGCGATTTTATTTATTTATTTTCCTCTTTATCTTGGGTTCGCTGGTGCAGATTAATTGAGGTAGAATTCAGCGCTTCTGGCAAAGATAATAAGCTTCGAGGACTAGGGTAATTTTTAAAAGGAGAGGTCTTCTGATGAAAATGTTCTTTATTCCAAATGTTTTCTGAAGGGGAATCAGAAAATGAAAGAAATGGTCGTTGCACTTTAGTTGTGATTTTAAGGAAGTCAACATGTCTGCTATAAAGTTATTAATCATCATTAATTTACTCATGAACAGAGATTTCTTCAGACTGCGCTTCAAAGTTGTCAGAACAATGAAGATGGACCGAACGCCCTAGAAGACAGGGGATCTTCATAGCCCTTTCTATTTTGGTCTCTGTCTTTCAACGCAGGTATTTCCCCGATAAACTGTGCTTTGTTAAGTAAGTGCTTCAAGATTCAAATACAATGGAACTGTTACAATGCAGCTTTATCACACCTAATTCCTGGTGCTACATGCTGTATACCCACTGCAGCATATAGGTATGGATCTTTTGAAATACCATTTGCAGTCCTACTCTGTGCCACTGCTGGAAAAACCCACACAGCACTCCGTGGATAAACAAATAATCTAGCATTGGTGAGCCAACACCCCAGAAATGGGAAGACCGTAATTGGGTCAGGGCAGCCGGGAAAGACCTCTGCGTGGAAATCCTTGAAAAATGCAGAGCCCAGGGGAGAGCAGGGAGGTTCAGAGGTGTTGGATGGGTCAGTGCTTGGAATCAGGTAAGAGTTCCGTAAACAGCTCACTAGCACTACTCTGCTTTCAGTGATGTTCTTTTCACATTCTAAAAAAGTTTACTGTAAACGGTGAACTCTCAGTCTCTTTGGGCTAAAGAATAATTTTGATTTTTACAACTGCTATCTCCTTCATTTTGACCTCGGATTTCATCACATGGCAAGTTGAAAACCACTGTTACTCTGTGCTTCATAGGGAATACAAAAATGTAAGAGTTTTTATTAAGTGATAAAACGTGGGCATTGTAAGTATCTTCAAAGTTATTATTAGGATATCACATGAAAAATAAAGATTGCCTGGGCAGGCCACAGATGCATAGTCTATCTGTGGTCTCCATAGTGGCAGTTTGCAGCACTTCGGTCATTTGGTTCGCCTTGGTGTTGATTTGAAACACGATAATTCTTCTAAAGAGTTATGAGATGGCAAAATCAGATACACCAGAACACAATAGGCATCTTAGAGACTGTGTGGACGTGCAAGAGATAAAAAAGTTTCAGAAGATACTTCCAAAATTTCAACGATTTCCAATAAGAGCCATGGCTGACTCACACATACAAAATGCCCTTCAAAGCCAGAGTTTGCAAAGGTGGTTTATATTTATCTCACATTATGCATTGGAAGGTTCTCATTAGTGGCTAACAGCTGATAGAGGGTGTCTGTTGATCATCCAGACTTGCATTGTTCAGGCTCAGGATGATGCAAAGACATGTGGAGATTGTTTTAACCATCCTTCTAGAGCTACCACATAGATAAAAATTAGCTAAAATGTAAATTTATTGTCTATATCCATATATGCAAGACACAGATGAAGAAGTTACATCTCAAATATCCCACTTGTACCTGCTATACAGTGATGGCAGGGATTAAACATAAGCATATTTATATGATCTCTTGTGGCTGCTGTATTGCCGGCTTGCAGTCCATAAAAAGTGACCACTTGAAAAAGATAACCTAAACGATATTTTCACAGCTTCAGAGATGGCTAGAGGCAGTCTGGGATATATGTGTATTGTACCCCAAATTCTATAATTTTCTGAAATGAAAGTGGAAGCAGGTGAGTATTGCAAATGACCACAGGGATAGTATGTAGAAAATCCCCTATAATTATGTTATAATATTGTCTATAATTACATCACACACTAACCAAAAGTCTATGTATCTGAATTGTAATAACCATCTGTTTCTTTGTACTTGTAATGATTTTTCTCCCAACAATAAACATATATTGTAAGCCAAGGAAAATAAAATCTGTAGCAAGAATGATGTGGGTTCACAGGTGGTTATCTCTACCAATAACTTAAGCATTTTGAATCAACTGACCTCTTCTCATGTAAATGCTGTGTAATAATGATGACAGAAGCAAAGCATGCTTAAATTAATGTAAGGATAACTAACAATAAAATAAATTCCATAATTTTCTCACAAAATTAAATATCAGAGCATATCCTGATTAAATACAGAATAATTAGATTATTTGAATGAAACAGTGTTTGGCTTACATCTGGTTCAGTGTTTTTCTCCTTAAGTGAGGAGAGAAGAGACATCTGCTAAGTACTTGGATTTTGCATCTACACATTTGTATGACTAGGTTTTCTTTTTTACATGTGCTGAATATGTACTTTTTAATAGCATATATGTAGTTTACTGCACCATGTGCGATGAGTTCTCTGACATCATAAGACACTCATCTTCACCACTTCCTATTTGCAGAAAGATTCATGAAGCAGAACTTCATTATTTTTACTGTATTTCCATTCTGGCTCTTCTCTTGCTGTTGTAAGCCCTTGACTTGGTAAAAGCAAGCACAGAAATGTCTTTAGTGCAGGAGAGAGAAGGAGGAGGAAGCCAAATGAAAAATCCAGAATGACAACATCTCCAAGTAGTACCTTCTAAAGCTGGAAGATAAAGCTGATGAGGTTACCATGACTACAGAGGCGGCATATTTGAATGAAAATTGATGTTAAGCTTTTAAATGCTAATTGTAGCTCAGAACAGGTGACATTTGAAATATCAAAATTATTTTAACACTCTACAATGTATAACTAGTGAAAGAGGGTGAAAAAGTTGGCAACATTAAGTTAAATTAAGACCCTGATATAGTCCTTATTATTAAATTATGGTACATCATTTACTTGTTTGTAGTAATAAGCAAATATATTGTACATAAATCATAGTGCCTGAGGGGCAGAAACTGTTTATATTACATCAGTAATATATTCTTGAGGAATATATTGAACAAAATTAAACAGGCTTATTTAAATTAACTACAATAGCAAGTTTCCAGCAGCCTGCATTAGAGGCTGTTAAAACTTAATATTCAGAAACTACTTTAAATTCTTAGTTACAAGTAAATCTTACAAGTGCCTGCAGTTAGGAATGTTTCTTAGCTCCACTCCCAATATTGGGTAATAAAAGGTGAACATATATACAATGGTACAGAGTCCTCACTAGAGTCAAAACTGTAAATAGTCAAAACTGTAAATTAAAATGACATGTAGACCAGTCTCACTGTGTAACTACTGGAATTTGCAGCTGCACCAACATCTAACCAGACTTAGGGCTTTAGCTGTAGAACATCTAAAATATGTGCTTTACCTTCAACTTTAAGCATTGGCTTACTATTAAGCCTCAGATCACCCGGTGTTTCTGTTTCTCTTGCAGTGTGTTAAATTCTACTTGTGGTATGTTAAATTCTACTTGCCTTTTAAAACAGTCTTGATAACATTACTATCTGTCATAATTAGTTGTAATGCAAATTTACATTTTGTAACAAATGACTGATTTTTAAAGCTCAGAGAGTTTTTGATTTTTTTTTGTTTTGTTTTGTTTTTAATATATAAGGTGAGAAATCTATGGGCTATACCTGTGTTCTGCATAGTTACAATGAGCTCTTTAAACACCCTTATTAAGGAGTCTAATTCTAGCTGATTTTTTTGATTCCACTTTCTGCTAACAAACACAGTGATAGGAAAATATAAATTGCATATACCTTTAAAAGACAAAAGATTTTTGTTGTCCATGTTTTAAGAACAATGTTTTTCTAATGTATTGTTTAAAATACTGATTAGACATATGGCAGCAGTAAATGTTGTCACCATAACATGCCAGTCTCTTTAAAGGATAGTCTCCATCAATGCAAGTACAAATCTTCCTCCTCTTTTTCTAGGTTTGAGAAGACCATATGAGAGTAGAACCACCACAGTCTAACATCTAGTAATGTGACAGAAAAAAAACACTGTATGGGGTATAATTATTGAAATCTACTTAAAAACCTGAGTATATTATATCCAGATGATTATTTTCACTTACTGGGCAATTGCGCTTTCCAAAAAAACAGCAGGGTGAAGCAACATAACTTTCTCTTTCAGATGATTTTCGGGTGTGATAATTTGATCCGTTGAAGCTCCTTGTATCTAAGTGCAATAACGTAACCGCAGTGAGCTACCCTGAAGTCAATGGGAGTAATTATTTTGCTATAATCTGTGGCCTACCAGCCTCCTTCATAAGAACACCTGCAAACTGGCAAGTCAGCAGCCTTAGGAGCAATTGCTGGTTTGGTGGATGAGCTCCAACATCCTTGTCAGTTTCCCAGCAGTTTCGCATATTGCATTGCTTGGAGCCTCAGCTTGAAACCCTCTGTTCCCTGTGACTTGCAACACTTTGGAGTGCTTCAGGGATAGAGGTCAAACTTGATATTAGCTGCAACTCAGATTTCTTGCACAATTTATTTCTGACTAGGCCATTGTCCAAGCAGAGCTGGAGGCAAATGTCTCCCACTGACCATTCTCCTCTCACCAATTAAATTATCTTTGCTGCTATACAATCACACAGTAATTACCTTTTTCTCCCTTTCCTTTATCCTTATGTTCAGCCTTCTCATATTCCTTGCACTTGAATTACAAGCTACCTGTCTTCATCTCTGCAGTAACCTAGTTTTCAAGTAATCTAATCCACCCTAATGGAATGTTTCAGAGAAATAAATATAAGGTAAAAATTGTCCTCAAATAATGAGAT